GGTTCCCCGCCCCAACTTCTCTTTATATAATGGTGTAGATGTAGATTATATTAGGAGGTGAAAAGCAGTAGACAAAATGACATTTTGTAAGGAAAATTTTTACCTTTACCCCCAGTATAGGTAAAAACATTGCTCAGCCATGACACTTGCTAAGAGCAAACTCGGAAGATGCTATTTTTGGATCACATCTCCTAGAACTCCCAGAATTCCTTAGACAGAGTTTCCAAAAGCATCAAAATTTACAAGTGTAGGAATCCATTGGTTGCTGTCTAACATCTCTTTGTTACATCTCCAACACAGGAAACTCCAACTTCTGACAGCACTGGAGTGAAACCTGACCTTTACTTCTAGCTTTAATAATCTCATTCTACCTTCCATCATTTGTGGAGGGGGGAGGGGGGAAAAGCAATGAGAACCATCTTATTTCATTTCCTACCGTTGAGGTATTTCCATTTTCAGGGATGGCAGCCATCCCACGTCCTTTCCCTGCCTTTCCTCGCTTCCATTTGTCTTCTATGGTTGGGAGTCGGATAGCACCCAACTCCAAAACATTCAGTTTTCACTCCATTTCCCTGTGCTGCTGCAATGGACTCCCACGGGCAACTACCAGAAGTAGCCTTACATCATGTGAAGGCTTTTGTGGGACTCTGTTTCAGCAGCACAGAGAAATAGTGAAGACTGCATGGGATTGAGTCCTAAATCCCATTCTGACTGCATCCCATTACCTGAAATTATTCAGAAGTTGTATCATACAAATAAATGACTATGAAGAAAAGGAGCAGATTACCTGAACAATGAAAACATGCCTCTGACATACAAGCAAATTGAAATAATGTTTTAAAAGATGCAAAAAGAAATGTGAAACAGCAGCACTGAATGAAAACTCATGTGAAGAGTGAATGAAATAAAAGGAAGAGTCAAGAGAAAGTAATTGGGTTTTGAAAGAGAAAGCAAGAGAGTTCCTTTTCAGGCACCCAGGAGACCTACCTGGAGCGGGTTTGGTGATGTGAGAGGTGAGGGAAGGCTGTGTCCTGGTGACTGGCTGGGTTTCTGAGGGGAGCCCGAAGATTGTGAAGCCGGTGACGCTTGGTTCTGACTCTGAGACTGCGATTGTGGTGGTTGTGGTGGAGGCTGCTGTGGTGGAGGTGGTGGTGCGGGTTGTTGAGGCTGTTGTGGCTGTGGCTGAGCTTGATGTTGGGGCTGGCTGGTTTGTCCCTGCAGTGGCTGGCTAGTTTGGCCCTGTTGCTGTTGCTGCTGCTGCTGTTGGTGGTGCTGGAGTTGTTGAAGATGCTGAAGTTGCTGAAGCTGGGAATTCAGGGATGAGGTAGCTACAAGTGGAAAAAGAAACACCGGAATTACAAAGAATTATTGTGGCATATATACCTCCAAATTTCATACCATTGGGAGACTTAAAAAGATGCACACTGTTAAAGAACAAGAGCTCCCCTTGGCAGGCACATCATTATAGATCTTTAGAAATTTGCCATGTTTTTGCAAAAAAGTAAAAACTCAAAATGCAGTGAATAATAATAATAATAATAATGATGATGATGAATTTGTTGTTGTTTGCAATCAGATTGATCTCAATGTATGGCACCCCAATGAATGAGAGGACTCCAAGTTCTTTAGTCATTAACTGCCGTCTTCAGATCTTGCAAATTGAGGTTCTCTTGATCAAATAGCCCACTTATAGTGCACTCTACCCGTATTCCTACTGCATCTCATCATCATAACACCACCAGATGACAACAATAACACAGGAAATGAAATAGTATAACATTGTTTAAAACATTAAATTATAAATCTAGAAAAGGGGAAAACTTGTAAGCGAATGCAAAAATGCTATAAAAGAGAATACTTCTAACTTCTAGTTTTTCAGGTGCTCAATCACACAGCACTCTTGGTGGTCCAGTTTATTAGATACCTAGTTGTGTGTTGTTTTTGCATGGTGATGTTGTTGTTGTTGTTGTTGTTGTTGTTGTTGTTTTTGCTTGGTGATGTTAGAGGGCTCAGTCTTCAAACCCCCAATACCAGGATATAAGACATCAATAATCTCTACTCTTGGCTGAAAACTACAGGGAAAAGCTTAAGGATGTGAATGTGGTATAACATTTCATACCATGAAGGCAGGCACTATAAATAAATTGTGGTGCACCATGTTATTGTCACAGTATAACTCATAGCCACCTCTCCTCTCAAACCATCTTGCCTTCCTATATAAACAGAGACTTTACTATTAGACAAGAGAGAGACTATATGGGCACAATATAGACATGTTAGTGGAACCTCAGGGGCAGAATGTATAGAGCATACCTGCAGACCTAAAGAGCACCTGGCATACATGTTTCACAGTTTACCGCAAACTCAAATAAAACAAAAAAACTTCCCTCAAAACTTTATTGGGGCTGAAATAACAGGTCAGGTTATGACAAACAAATACAGATAGTTGGGAGTGCTGTGTGGTTAGATTGCCAAGTCATGAAGCACCATTGCACTAATCAACCAGAGGCTCCCAAAAGACATCACAGCTCTGTTTCACCATTGCCTCACGACCAGCTACTTTCAGTGGGACAATGAATTCTATGAACAGAAAGATGGAGTAGCTATGGGGAGCCCTCTCAGCCCAGTCATAGCTAATTTCTACATGGAACACTTTGAAAAACAAGCCCTGGAAACAGCAACAAAAAAGCCCACGATATGGTTCAGATATGTGGATGACACTTTCACCATTTGGAGCCATGGAGAAGAAGAACTCAACAGGTTCCTGGACCATCTTAATAGCATCCACCCAAACATCCAGTTCACCATGGAAAAAGAAAATGAAGGAAGACTGCCTTTTCTAGATGTCCTAGTCATCCGCAAACCAGATCAACAATTGGGTCACACCATTTACAGAAAACCCACACACAGAGATAGATATCTACATAAAAACTCCAACCATCACCCAAGTCAAAAAAAGAAGCACCATTAAAGCCTTGGCAGGTGGTGCAAAAAGAATCTGTGAACCCCACCTCCTCCAAGATGAACTGAACCACCTCAACTGGGCTTTACAGGCCAATGGATACTCCACCTCAGACATCAGAAGAGCTGCAAGACCGAGAACAAGCCACAAGAGTAAAGACAAAGATCCACCCAGAGGAAAAGTGTTCTTGCCATACATCAAGGGAACCACTGACCGCATAGGGAAGCTGATGAGGAAACACAACATACAAACTAACTACAGACCCACCAAGAAAATCCAACAAATGCTACATTCAGCAAAGGACAAGAGGGATCCTCTCACTTCTGCAGGAGTCTACCGTATACCATGCAGCTGTGGACAAGTCTACATAGGGACCACCAAACGCAGCATTGCCCAAACACGAATCAAGGAACATGAAAGGCACTGCAGACTACATCAACCAGAGAAGTCAGCCATAGCAGAGCACCTGATGAACATTATTTGAGAACACAGAAATGCTGGACCACACCAACAACCACCATGTCAGACTACACAGAGAAGCCATTGAAATCCACAAGCATGTGGACAATTTCAACAGAAAGGAGGAAACCATGAAAATGAACAAAATCTGGCTACCAGTATTTAAAAAAAATCTAAAATTACAACAGCAAAACAACAGAGAGGAAACAATCAGGGACAGCTAATCACCTCTCAACAAAAAATTCCCCCAGGCACTAACAAGCCACACCAAAAAACTGCCAGGCCATCAAATGCTAATCAAGGTGGTCAGTTGAAACATTCACACCTAGCTCCAGCAGACAAGAGTTCTTTGTCCCATCCTGGTCATTCCACAGATATATAAACCCATTTTCCTAGTTCCAACAGACCTCACAACCTCTGAGGATGCTTGCCATAGATGCAGTCGAAACATCAGGAGAGAATGCCTCTATAACATGGCCATATAGCTTGAAAAAACCTACAACAACCAAGCCTTGAAGACATCCTATAAGGAGACAATGGGCCTGTAGAGAAGTGTTCATTATACTGTGTTTCAAACTGTGTTTAGGCTTTACATTGTGGCCAGGGCCTAGCTGAGAGAGAGATAGGTTGCCATGGTGACAAGCCAGAGGAGGTGGGCGGAGCTTAGGTAAAAAAGGTTTGAAAGCGACAGTTTATTTTCAGTCAGGCGGATGAGACCCTGAGGAGAGTAGCAGAGTCAAGGAGGCTCTGTGGAGTAGTGTAAATTCAGTTAGTTCTTAGGTTTTGTGAATACTATTCCAGCTAGGAAGCTGAAGGTGGAAACTCGTTAGATTGCTTGAGTAGAAAAGAATCTAACAAGAAAGGGTTTCAGGGATCCCAGTGGTGAAAATCTGGAGATCGTTGGTTTGATCCGGTGAAGGACAAACAGTTGTAAATATTCACAATAGGGAACACTGAAATAATAAAGTACCTCACTGTAGAAAGAGTTAAAGGATTGTAACATCGGAAGACTTAATGTAACTCAACCAAGCCATTTTGTATCCATCAAGCTTGTGCCAAGTTCAACAGTTTAATTTTGCAACAATTACGCTCTGATAACAATAAACCTGTTCTTTTTGTGTTTTAAACTTGCCTCCTTCACTGATTTCCACGTTTGAAGCATTCCACACTACCCAAGGTGCCTCACAACACAGATAAGGATAACCAGAGATCATTTTTACCAATATCACTTATATTATGGTGGCAATTTAAGCTAGAAGTCTCAAATCTTTATTACATCTGTGTGGTGATCCTATTTATTTGGGATTTTACACCATTATTTCATTTTGGAGACTTCCTCACATATTTTGGTGGCAGCAAGTGAACGGTTTTAAATTTTTAGTAACAAGCGGTGGGAGTCACGGCTTCGCAGGCCCAACTAGTGCTTTCTGAATAATGAATATCATTCCTTAAATGGTGTAATGAGGAAGTTTTCAGTGGATAGTGTAGGTCACCAGACAGTCAAGTTGGGAGAAAGTTCTGCATTCAAATTCCACATTTGTTTTGAGCCCACACAACAGGCTCTAGACAAGTCAGAGTTTTTTAGTTTGAGATTTCCATCAGTAAAATGAAAATATTGACACTTCAGAGCCTGTGTTATAATGATCTAGTAACGTGCGTAAATGCATCACACTTTTAGAAGTCTTAAAAGAAATATATAAATGATAACCAGAAGCCAATCAGAAATTCCTATGAGCCTCATTGCGCGAATGGATAAAAGAAGAAAAAAGAGAGAGGCTGAATGGCTGTTTTATGGCTAGAGAGCTCAGTGTGTGGGCAAAGAATATTATAAGGAATAAAATAAGATTCAGTGCTAAAGTGCAAAGTTGCCTTGAGGTCCAAAATGATTATACAGAAGAGCATATGCACAGTGCCAAAGAAATTAAGATGCATGTCAGAGTATAGACGATTAAGACAATGGCTGCAGCAAAGGGCCAGAGCTCAGGAGATTTGAAAAGCAAGTGTTGTATTAACTCTAAGTACTCTTTGGCCCAGTTCAAGAATATTTTACTGCTTTCTATCTGAAAGCACGTGCTTAACATTCCCCATGCAGTCTCTCAGATCAAGCTTTTTGTAACTGTAACTAGATGGGGCTTTGCTTTAATTAAAACAGTAACCAAAACACAATATGAATGACATTTTTTTTAAAAAAAAATTGTCTTGAAAAACATTTTTCCAAAACCCAGTCCATTCTCTAATAACTTTCCCCAAGATTATCCTAACAGAGATTGATTAGCTGATTGATGTGGCAATACTTCCTCATGATTACTCCACAGTTCACCTCTTCTGGGGAAAATATCGGTTTGATGGAATAGCCAATTAAGCAGCATTATTTTTCCTTTGTGGTGTGGTATCACTGTTCACTTGGACACATTGTCACCAACTTCATGGCTGAAGAAATAATAGCTGGATTTTTTTTTCTGACTTCAGTCTTCAAAGCTATTTTGTTGGGAAGCTATAGGGGTTGTACCCTGGTCCATCAAGGGGGGGGGAGCTGCATATTTCAGCAACCTTTTCCATGCAGGGCTGTTGCAAAGTTTATTTGAAAAGGCAGAAAGAGAGGCTGCAAATATTTTATTATTTATTTATTTGTTTCCCATATTTGTACCCTGCCCTTCTCAACCCCTGGGGGGGACGGGGACCTCAGGGTGGCTTCCAGCCGACAAAAATTTGATTCCTCCAATGTACACATAATAAAATACATAATATAAAATCCAATAATCTTACACAGATTTAAAACATTAAATCACATTAATTAATTAAAAATCTGTTTCTGTTTCAATAACAGCCTGGTGGCCTTATCTGAACCGAATTCTGTAGTTAGAGATTCCATCAAGCAGGTTCATAGTCCATTTCCATAGCGATTGT